GTGCCCGCCACCACGCCCGGCTAATTTTTGTATTTTTAGTAGAGATGGGGTTTCACCATGTTGGCCAGGCTGGTCTCGAACTCCTGACCTCAGGTGATCTACCCACCTCAGCCTCCCAAAGTGCTGGGATTACAGGCCTGAGGCACCACACACAGCCTCTGTTGGCTTTTTAATTAGGAAGGATCCAGGTAGGCCCGTGTGGTTAGGTCAGCTTTGTTACTGAATTACCTAAAACCAGACCACAGCGCAGCCAGGGAGTCCAGTAGTGTTTCCAAGAACAGTGTGGAGCTCGAGAAGGAGAACTTTAAAAATCAGAGGGTTCCTTGTCGCAGAGGAAGGGATGCTCACAGCGTGGCAGTGGTCCAGCCTCAGGGAGAGGGGAGGGAGAGCCCCCCTGGACCCAGCAGGCAGGTGTTCTGAGGCTGGTCCCTCCTCCGTTTCTGCAGCCACAAGGCGAAGCTGCCAGGTTCTCACTCAAGGCCACTCTCACTCCTTTTCCTGTCCCATTTCCAGTCCCAGTGAGCCATTCACTTCCGCTGAACCATTTTTCTTAGGATGCAGCCGTCTCACTCCCTTGTCCTGTAAGTCACGTATTCACATTGATGATTCTTGGAGATAGGTTTCACTTCAGAAGCTCCCAGCTACGTCCACAGGAAAGGGGAGTCGGATGCCAGGTGCACCCCGTCTGGCTCAGCAGGGCTTCCTGGAGTCACACAGGCCATGCACCCCAGGAACCCTTGCTGCCTCGGGCCAGGAATAGGAATGTGTTGGTGCCTGAGACACCAAACAGAAGAACCATGTCCAGACTGTTCTCCTGCAGCCAACACTGGCCTGGAAGCCACCCTCCACACAGGTGCTCAGGGGGCCTGCCTTCTGTGCCTCAGGCCCGCATGCATCCCTGGGCCTCCCTGGGCCTGGGTAGCATGCTCTCCAGGAGAGGGATGGAATCAATCATGTGACCGACAGGCTCGCAAGGATGCATGCCACCGTGGGAGCCTGACTCCGGTGCTGGCAAGGGATTGGGTTTGTGTGGGTGTCTCTAGCCTGCAGACTGTGGTGAGTGGGAGCCCTCGGGAGCGCGGCCCTACCTGCAGCTGCGCCTGGGGATGCGCGTGACCACGGGATTTCAGTGGGACAGCGCTTCCACGGGGGTTGGGGGTGGGAGTAGGGTTTCTTAGTTACTATTGGAAAGGGAAAAACCATGTCCAAGGGGAGAGAGGATGGGCTGGGTTCACCCCAACTTCCCTTCTACACCCCTCCCACAGGACAGTGCAATTTGGGGAGAACCCAGCCCATCCTCTTTATCTGCAGGCTCTGGGACGTGACAAAACAGAGCCTGAGCCCGCTGCAGCCTGAAGCTCCCTTGAGCTGCGCCTTAAGGGACTTTGCACTTTAACTAGAAAGAGGATGCCTGTCAGTAAATCCCCTGTGCATTGACTGGAACTAGGGGGCTGCGCCCACTCCCTCCTTAATCCTAGATGATTTGCTCATGAAATAGAGGTGGGGGACGACGGCATGCCCTTAGGACGTGCAGCCCTAAGGTGTGGACTCCAGATCTCCCTGCAAGAGACAGCTTGTCTTGGGTTTGTCTGTTGGAGAGGAGCTCCTGGCGTTCCCGGCGAGCCTGGGGCTGTGGCTTAGGGTCTTCTGGGTGGACACTTGGGGAAAGATAAGGCAAACGTTTGAACACTAGGAAATGCTAGAAATTCAGACAACATACATGGATCCCCTTAAAACATGTAAATGTGTCAGGACACGGTTGACCTGCCGCCGCCTTGGACCTGGCAGCCCCCCTTGGAACTATCAGTGGCGTCTCCCATGCACACGCCCTCTGCTTTCTCTTTCCTA